AGACAGTCCGAAATCACCTTGTCAAAGGACCTAAAAATTTGCAGATCTTGTGGCACTTCAGAGACGCCAAAAGCTGGGCGACTTGCAAGGAGGGCCCACACATCTCTCCGCAAGGCCAGATGCAGGAGCTTACTAACTTTGGCAGGCTTGGAGGGAAGCCCTGCTTGAATGAGCTCCCCGATTTCTCCTCGGGCCCGGTGCACCACGTCCTCTTGGCAGGAACTTTGTAAAAAGGAAAGCAAAAGAGCGTCGGCATCCATGTCCATAACCAATCCCTTGAGGATGTCAGCAGACTACTGTTACGAACCAGAGTGGCCAAGGCTTGAGCCAAAATGGCTCCCGAAAAGAGGGACCTCAAAAGGGACCCTAATTTAGAGAACTACCCATATGATTGTGAAGTTTCAGGTTTTCATAAGCGTCTTGCAATCTGACAAGCCGCTGCCGATGTCGAGGGCCCCGAATCGGTTGCCTGGCTGGGCTTCTTTGGAAGTTCGAAGTAGAAAGAAACAGGCCTTCACAGTCAGACTCCCTAAACCCTAAACCCTAAACCCTAAACCGTGCCGTAAACCCTAAACCCTAAACCCTAATTCAAGATCTATACGGTTGTATGGTGTCATCGGCTTCTATCGTCCTTTATGATAGGGCCTTACATGGGGGCATACTAAAGAGACACCAATGAGGTCGGTGCTGCAAGGGTATGCTTGCTAGTTGCTCAGAACTGGATATAAAACAGTCTCGATACGGGTAGTTCTCTAAATTAGGGTCCCTGTTGAGATCCCAAATATAGTACGGCAAGGTTACAAAAAAGAACCCCACAACAAACCCTAATCTAGAGAACTACCCATATGTTGCTTGAGGGTTCAAGGGCTTTGGGGGAAAGGCAAGTGGCTAGGGCGGCTAGGGTGGTCGGATTTGGGATGTGAGGTTTAGGTTCCTGCTTTTTGTTTCGAGTCGCTTGCGTTGCGGCTGCCTTGGGCAGGTTATTTCCCGAAGCAGAAATGGCGCTGTGGACCTTCACAGCCTGAAACCTAACGCGTTGGCGAATTTCCAAACCACCGGATCGAAACCCTAAACCCTAAATGTAGGGGCCTTAATGATTGGAATAAGGTCTTGGGCTCCTTTATAGTATTCATATAATAAGGAACCCTAACAGTAATATTGGTAATTGTCTAAGCCCCTAAACCCCTAACCCTAGCTGAACCCTAGGTCCGAGTTTAGTGGCCTCTTGGTCGTCTTTTGGAAGATCACCTGAGCAACAGGGGTTTAGGGTTTAGGGTTTAGGGTTTAGGGGGCGCGCCAGGTGCGGGGTTTAGAAGACTAGCGGCTCCAGATGGCCTAGGCCATCGACCCTTGAAGTCTCAACCCGGAGAGGTTTGTGGTGTAAAGGGTTTACTTATAAAGTTATATATATACACATATATATATATATATATGTGTGTGTGCTATATGTGTGTGTATATATATATATATAGATGTGTGTGTGTGTGTATATCAAGCTTTATTTGTTCGCTCTAAACTCTTCATATGTTTCCTCTGGCACTTAGGATAGGAGGGAATCCGGGTGGACTATGCAGCGTCTTCCATGCTTTCTTGGAGCGAGGGGGTGAGGGTCCGAGATTCAAAGAAATTTAGGGTTTAGGGTTTAGGACTTTTATGAGCCTTAAATGCTAAGCCCAAAGTCTCGAAAGCAAAGGCACGACGACCAACTGCACCGAGCCACGCCCAGGATAAGTTGTACTTGATGTCCATACCTGTAGATGAACTGGGTAAGGGTGTAAGGTTAGGATTCAGAGTCAGAATCCTTTTGTACATCATGGACGGTCGTCAGTGACACCCCGCAGTAAAAGTGCCACGATGGCAAAACGAAAGACCAAACCATGATGGCAATGACGATCACGACGATGAACGAGATTTTTGAGATTTCGGCAATCTCGGTATGATGTCAAAGTACTGCCGTAACATCGTTGATTACAAAATCCGCAGAGGAACTGAGAGGCAGAACAAGACGAAATGAGCAGCGTAGCCCTGTGCCCTTGGCCCACGACAGACATTGCCTTGGCCCACGACAGACATTGCTGAACGTAACCGGGGCGCCATACGGTGCAGTGCCGTTCACGGAGTAGACGAGCCTAGGTTTTTGCACATGATCCAGCTGACAGGGCAGGCAGGGCATGTTCAGCCCGAGAACTGGAGACCTAAACCCTAAACCCTAAACCCTAAAACCTAAAACCTAAAACCCTAAACCCTAAACCCTAAACCCTAAACCCTAAACCCTAAACCCCTAGACTGTTTCGGGTTCCGTGCCGGCCGCGGAACAAAGGCAGCATCAGCTTGCGGAAGAACTCGGGAGCCAAATGCAGGAAGAAGGGGAAGGCGGGGAAGATGACCTCGGGCTTTCAGCACGGTCCGGCAGAGGCACAAAAGCCGATTCACGGGCTCGGTGGCGCATAGTCGAGGTCGGCGAGGTCAAGTGCTGGGCTCAACCCTAAACCCTAAACCCTAAACCCCTAAACCCCTAAACCCTAAACCCTAAACCCCTAAACCCTAAACCGGTGGTGTTGCCCATGCGCAAGCTTCAGCTCGAGGTGGGGGATGCTACGCGGCCAAGCTTCATCCACGGTTGAGACGTCTCCGTCGGACGAAATCTCCTGCAGGACTAGCCCTGACCCCCCAGGTACCTGCTATATAGGGCCCTAGGGGCTCTAGTACCCTATATAGCAGGTACCTGGGGGTTTAGGGTAGCATCAACAGCCGCTTGAAAGAAGTTGGAAGAGACTTGCACATAAGCGACTGCGGCATTAGCTTTCCTGCCTTCATGAACGGCCACTCTTCGCCTCCGGATCAGGTCAAGCATTCACAGAAATTTTCTCTGTTGCACGCAAGCCAGTCAGCCGACAAGCAGGCCTGCTTTGTGATTCCACGCCGTCGACGTGGCGCCGGTCACCTGCCAGAAATCAGAAAATAGGCTCCTAAACCCCAAACCCAAGCTAGGTCGATGCCTTGGGGCTATCGCGCAACGGAGACGCTATGCCTAAAGGCAACCCAGCCCTGGCCTGGCGGTAGACCAGGGATCCCAACTGCGCGTACTTCTCACCTCCCCGGCTCTTCAACTCGGCCACGAGCTTCTGGTCTGCGTCCTAGGGCCGATGTTCAGCGAAAAGCTGCGAAAAACATGGGGGGTTTCCGAAAATCGGGGGCCATAATATAGTACCCTAAATAGTAGGATAAATTATAAGGACCCCAAAATAAGGTACCCCCAATTTTCGGAAACTCCCACATAGGGCTCAGTAACAGTAGTACTCAGTACTCGCCTTCGTCAGGATTGTCAATACGTGGAGGAGGAAACATCGCCGTCATCGTCGCCGTAGCAGCAGCAGGAGTAGTGCGAGTAGCAGCAGTAGCAGTAGTGGCCGCAGCAGCAGTAGGAGTAGTCATCGTCCTCGTGGCGGTAGTGGTGCCGCAAGGAGTAGACGTCGTCGTCGTAGTAGTAATAGCAGAAGTCGTCGTCGTTGTCGTAGCTAGAGTCAGCTGGAGGTTGTAGCAGAAGCAGTAGCAGTGGTAGCCATGGCAGAGGCAGAGGTGGTGGCAGGGCGGTGGCAGTGGCAGCAGCATCAGCAGCAGGAGCAAATGCAAAATCGAAGAACAGGCCGTCTCTGTTGGGTCCTGTGCCCGGCTTCTTCGAACCTCCGTTTGCTCCTCAGCAGCAGCCAAGGCCAGCGTCGCGTTCTTGAAGTGCTGCGTCCACAACGGCCGCAGGTCCGTGCCGAAGAATCGTTGGGCCACAACCTCCAGAGGAGCTTAGGGTTTGCAGGGGAAACCAACACACAGGATCACAAGTACTGGGAGTGACCTGCTTTGTTTGTTTGCAGTGTTGTTATGTTGTGTGGTTGTTTGTTGCTTGCGGTGTCTGTTTGCTTAAAGTTAAAACCAACCAAGAGTGCGTCCAACTTGTCGAGAGTGTCTGTCTGTCTCTGCATACGTGCATACATACAAGCATGCAGCCCATCCATCCATCCATCCATCCATCCATCCATCAATCCATCCATCCACCGCTCGCTCCCCCCCTCGCTACCACTCTCCACCCATCCCTCCCATCTCGTCCCCATTCCATCCTTCCATCCATCCGGCACCAAGACCTAGTATCAATCGTATATGCACACACAAGTGTTCGTTTACTCATTCCCCATGCTACGACGATGAACCAGTGTAGAAGAGATGGCATATTGAGCACAACGAAGCAGACATGAGGACCAAAAACACCGCTCACAAGGGTGCAGTGCACTACTACAGCGCAGTCTGTTGTAGGGTTGAGATCTCTGCTTAATATGTGGTACGTGCTTTTGTTTCTTACCTCCCTACGCATGTAACTGCGTGCAGCCACCCTCAATTACGTAGTTGCTGTCACAACAGCCCCAACCCAGAGAGCCCAATACCCCTTGATTAAGGAATATACCTTAAATTCTACGGTCCTTAATATTATGATTTAAGGTATCTTCCTTAATTAAGGGGTATTGGGCTCTCTGGGAATATCCTTAAAAAGGCCCGACGGGATGTCGGACACGAAGCCGGCCTCATCCAGCATCAGGTGGAGCCTGGCGGCCTCCCCGGGAGAGACCTTGGTTCAGGGTTGATGATTTAGGGTTTAGGGTTTAGGGTTTAGGGTTCAGGGTTTAGGGCTTAGGGTTCAGGGTTTAGGGTTTAGGGGTTCAGGGTTTAGCATTCAGGGTTTGGGGTTTTGCAGGGTTTACGGTTTCTTGGGGCCTCAGGAGTTTTGGGGCCCCTTGACTAATCTCGCAGCCCGAAGAACCACTCGAAATACCGACCGATACACCCCAAACCCGAATTAGTTCCCCACACGACCAGCCGAGATACTAGTACACAACACAGGCACCCACCTCCTTGTAAGGGTTTGAACATCGAAAGCTTCTGAAATCTTAATACTAGGGCAATAGCAAGGCCACTCGAAACACCGATCGTGGTTGCTGCCAGGGTGTAAGCATCACGGGTTTAGGGTTTAGGGGTTTAGGGTTTAGGGTATAGGGGTTTAGGGTTTAGGGACAAAGGAATTGGCAGATTCCGTTTGCGTGTTGGCTTGGCTTTGGAATTCGCCAAAGATGCTGCCAGCGCCGCCGACAGCACCAGCGGTCGGTCGGAAGCCTTCCTTGCAGGGCCGGCATCGTCCTGGCAAAGACCGGGGCGTTGAGGCTCCAGGTTTAGGGGTTTTAGGGTTTCGATATTTTTCGGTTTACGGGTTTAGGGGTGTAGGGTTTTGGTGATTTAGGGTTTAGTGTTTAGGGGTTTCGGGTTTATACGACTCAGGAGCAGCCGAGATCGTCATCATGATCAGCTTCTTTCGTGGCGGTAGAGGGGTCCCCTACTCTAATATAGGGGCCTTAATAAGTGGAATAGGGTTTTGATGTATATTAAACTATAGATATTTTAAGGAACCCCCAAAATAGTTATTAAGGCCCCCATAGCAGTTGGCCCGGCCACTTGAATATGGATGCTCACGTGAGCTTGCCTAGCTTCGGAAAGACAGAATGATCACATTGGCCACCCTTGTGGCCTACGTCAAAGTCGAAGTTGTTTGAACAATCATCGTCATCATCATCATCATCAGCAGCATCATCATTATCATCATCACCATGATCAGCAGCATCTGCATCTCCAACATCATCAACAACATCCTCATCATGAACTCACAACACGGCCAAAGGTCAGCAGTCGGCCTTGGAGAACCCCGAAGCATTTATGGCCCAAGCCCTGGCTCAATCCCAATTCTGGGCCATGCTTTACAAAACAGGCCCCTCCGTCCTGAGCAGGTTCAGAGGAACCGTGGCCTAACATGGGGTTCCCGTTTGAGTATACTGTAGGGACCTCAGTAATTAGAATAGGGTCTTGGGGAACAGCATACTCTACTTATAGCAAGGAGCATGGGGTTCCCCTTTGAGTATACCCAACCTCCTCACACGAGCCTCGAACCGGAGAAGCTCTGAATGTGAGGTGGGACCTTGCAGATCGAACGAAACCGTCCTTCCCAAACCCTGAACCCAAGGCCCTAGGCGCTGAACCGCAATCCGAGAAACCCTTAACGATACTTCAGAAACGCCCAGCCCTAAGCCCTATTTATAAACTTTGAGCCCTAAACCCCTGAACCCTAGACCCTTTAACCCCCGGTCCTCCATCTTTGAGTAAACTTTTAAACCCCTATAACCCCGGGTCCTCCATCTTTGAGTAGGTGCCCTGAGCGAAGGCGGCCCGAGTTTGAGACGCGGAAGCCATCACGGTCTTGGCTCCGGAGCCGACGGCGACGTAGCGGAAACCCCAGTCCTGGAAGCTTTATTTGCTGTTGGAAGGCTTAGGACTCCAGGGCTTAGAGTAGAGTTTAGCGTGGGGGGTTCAGGATTTAGGATGCACAGGGTCCTGCCACAGGGTTGAGGATGTGAGGCTTAGGGCCTAGGGTGTTTCAGGTTTACGTGGTTTGGCTTCTGCTCGATCCCACGAAACACAACCAAAACCTGTCTCTTAGGCTGTCTGCAACCAGCGATCCAATCCTGACATCAAGAACCCAATGCTTATATACTATATACCCTTCACTCTACATCCTGAAGCTCCAATTTTCAACACTCCTCAGCCCCTCACACAGCAGCCGCAGGACTGACTGCAAAGCATCTTGAGGAAAAGCTGTTCCCCAATCTGTTGAGAACACTAAACCCTGGCACTAAGCCCTAAACCCTAAACCCCCTGGCACTAAACCCTTCTAAGCCCCGCACACAGCGGTCGGAGGTCTGACCACAAACTTTCTGCGCCACCGTCCCCGTGCGCATGACTTCGATGCCCGGACCCGGCTCGCGAGCCCAGGTGACCTTCGTCTTATAAGCCCTAAACCCCCGGTTTAGGGTTTAGGGTTCTAAACCCCTAAACCCCTAAGCTCCTATAAACCCCTATAAACCCTAAACCCCTAAACCCTAAATCCCAAACCCCAAAATCCCTAAACTCCTAAACCCCTAAACTCAGAGGCTTGGCTTTAGGGGTTTAGGCGGGGCTTGGTAGCTTCGGGATACTTTGTCTTTCGGTCCCTGAATATCATTCTAGTGTTGTAGCCCTCTAAAGCTCAAGGCTTGCAATTTGAGTCTGATGAGGATAGTATAGTAAAGGCTTCAGGGTGGAGGATTTGGAGCTATGCAGTGATCCAGACAGATAGGAGCAGCTACAAAGGCATTGAAGGTGGATGGAAATGGACGAGGTGGGCTAAGTCTGATGGGCGTAGATGGTGGCCCGATAGGGGCAAAGAAGTCCTATGCCTATATGGTTCGTCACTTCTAATACTTCTACCCTTTGGTCTTTGCCACGAAATCAACGCATCACGCCCCTAGACACGTGAAATCGAAACCCTAGAAAGAGAAACCCTGAACCCTACACCCTAAACCCTAAACCCTGAGGAACCCTGAACCCTAAACCCTAAACCCTGAGAAACCCTGAGAAACCCTGAGAAACCCTGAACCCTAAACCCTACACTCTAAACCCTAAACCGACCGCTGCAATGATGCTTTGCGAAGTCCCCCTCGCCTCCTGGTCAGATTTTTGCGTGGCAGTGGCAGCAGACATATCCTGAGCATGCACCTAAGCCCTAAGCCCTCAGGGTTTAGGGCTTAGGGTTTAGGGTCTAAGGTTTAGCGTTTATAGGGTATAGGGTTTAGGGCTTAGGGTTGAGAAATTAGGGTTTAGGGTTTAGGGCCCGCAACCCGCAAGACTCGGCTAAGTGATGAGAGCTTGCGAGGTTGAAGCAGGCGTTGATGTGCAGGTTGGCGCATGTGGAAGGCATTGAAGGCTTAAAGCATTGAGGGCTTGGCCTTGCAGCTGTTGGGCTTAGGGCTTCAGAAAGAAGACCTGGCTCCACAACGTGAGCAGGGACGAATGAACGAGTTCACCAAATGAGATCGTGTCTGGATCCTCTCCGCTGCCTGCGACGACGACGACGACCACCACCACACCACACTACCACGACCACGACTACGAGGAGGTGGAGGTTAAGGCTAACAAAGACAATACCACTGACTCTATAGGATGGAAGCAACATGACCACCGCTGCTGCCTTGGTTGTGTGTATTCGTTGTGCGCTTAGTAAAACCCGACCTGATTCACGCTATCACTGGACATGTTCGCCGGCCAAGGAGCAAAGTACACCTCCACCGACCCGCTTCCGTCGACCAGGAAGCTGACAGTCGTCACGGGGCATGTCGCCCAAACGAAGTCCTCGCAAAACGCAGGAAACATGTATTCTCACTCAGCAGCACGGCACGGAGCAAACAAGTAATTAGCTCAAAAACCCATAAACCATACTGAGGAGGATAGCCAGCAGCAGCAGCAGCAGCAGCAGCAGCAGCAGCAGCAGCAGCAAAAGCAACAACAGCAGCAGCAACAAGAACAAGAACGCAAACAAATAACAATAACAAGAACCAGAACAACGGCAACAGCAACAGCAACACCACCAAAACCACGACCTACGACGACGACAACAAGCACAACCACGACCACCACTAGGACGACGACGAGACGGGCGGCGACGACACTGATGACTACGAGAGGAGAACAAAAAAGATGCCCCCAGAAGACGCAAAGCCACGGAGAAGAATCACACACTGAAAATCACTGCAACACCACATAGCAAGAGATTCCACAAGAAGGGACATGCAGGGCAGAAATTCTTAGGAAGAGCCCTGGAGCCTGAAAACCCCGAAGGTCCGGCGACATAAGACCTCAACTAGGTTGTAGGGTCCAGGTATAGGCATTTAGGATCTAGGGGTTTAGGGTTTCGGGTTCAGGGGTTTAGGGTGAGGGGTTCAGGGGGTATAGGGTTTCGGGTTCAGGGCAGGTCGCGGTTTAGGGTTTAACTCCCCTAAACCCAACAGCCCAAACCCTAAACTTAGAGCCGGGCCCCTCGGTACGACCTGCCAGTCAACTCGGTTCTCGTTACGGCACTTACTTAACCAAGCTACCGAGATCAGACCATAGCGCCCGCCACTTCTATATCAATATCTATTTAGCTTTATCTACGTACCCTTAGTATGCTTTCCCCAACTAGTTATCAATATCCATAGCTGTATCTACGTACCCTTATAAGTATGCTTTCCCCAACTAGTTATCAATATCCATAGCTGTATCTATGCACCCTTAGTATGCTTTCCCCAACTAGTT